TGGGGAGGAGAAGAGGGTTAGTGGTCAAAGTCGTGTTGGTGGTTTGACCTGCCTAGCACATGCTGCCTCCTGCTTCACTCTCAGGGTGCCATATTAACTTCAGCTAGTGTGCCTGCTACATGAGTAGAAGTTAATTGACATTTGGTGGGGATAGCTGGCCCTTTCTCCATAGTAGTTATTTCCTCAAATGATGGCTGACAAACTGGAACTAGGTTATGAATGGCTTTAAATGGCAAAAAAAAAAATTAAATTTTTATCCTAGAGGTGACAGGAGCCACTGGAGCGTTTTAAGCAGGGGGTGGCAATGGCATGATCAGAATTATACTTTAAAACAGGAATATTTGATATCTCTGTGGCATGTGGATTAGAAAGGGAAGAGACTGAAGGCAGGGTGACTATTTAAAAAATCCAGGGGTGAGGTGATAAGGGCCTCATCTTAGTTGATGGCCAAATGAATGAAGAGAAGAGGAAGGACACAATAGATTTTATGGAGGCAAATCAACAAGACTTGGCAACTGATTATACTGATGCTTGAAGCAATCATTTTCTCCATAACTTATGACCAGAAAGCTTATTCACTTGCAGAGTCTGGCTAATTAATTAATTTAAACTCATTTCAAAGTCCTTTGAAATAATCTTAAATGGATTGAGTAATAACCAAGCCTTTACTGGGCATTCATCCAGTGGACAGTATAAACATTTGATGATGATTATGTAAATAATGGTTGAATTGTCTTTAATGACCCTCAGCTGATGCTAACAGAATCAGCTCTGCTTTCTGAAAGGGAAAAATGGAACATGTTGTCACAAGGTTAGCCACATCCTCAATTCAAGTCCTTCAGTCTCTCATGACTTGTTTCATTGAGCTCCTAGAATTTAATGGACTTTTCTGGAAAACCAGGGTTTGGACTTTTAAGGGCAAACTGGTTGATTTCAAAATCACTCCATGACTTTCTGTATTTCATACAGAGTAATTTATATGTAAATTTGTATTTGCATTCATATTTCCAGTGATGAATATACTATGCATGAAGTTACCACATGGTACACCAAATCTATAGAAAGGGAAACAAAGGAGGTCATTGTAAAATGTTTGATCGTTACTGATATGGCACAATGGAATTCAATTCGTGGGACTTGGGTGGGAGGGAGGAATCCTCATTGAGCCAGGAGATCCTCTTATCATTTATAGTAGTCTTTGCCACAAATTACACTGCATCCTGGGCCATCTCCAGTTGTCCAGATCTACATCTGACCACTGGACCCAGATGGCTATGGAGGAGAAAGTGAGGCTGGTGACTTTGCACAGCCCTCCTTCACTCAAATCCAATTTAATTGCAAGTCATGTCATCCTCTTCCTGATGTCCTGTTCCTCTTTGAGAACTAAGGACAAACCACACAACCCATAACTTTTTATAGTATCTTCATTTTAGTAGAGGTGAGATTTCGTATGTTGGGATTCAGTCTACTATATTTCAGTTAAATTCATCCATTTTTGCTTAGGCATCTAGGATAACAAGCCAAAATACCAGTATACAAATAGTCCTCTTTGCCTAACCTTGAATGCTGACTAAGGGCAGACCTAGTAAAGCTATTCTGTATATCCTCTTTGGCCCCATCCTAAAGCTGATTCTGTCAGTGCTATTAGATTCACTAGAACAGACTTGCCATGGATCCAGGAATCTAGCACCTGTTTGTAGCAATCCTGAAAAAAAGCACCAGGCTCTCTCCTACTCTGTTTCTATCTATTGCCTACAGGCAGCCTCAGTGAGACCCTTGGATTGGTGCTTGTTATAGGCTGGCCCCATTATATTGTGACAAAGTAGTATAGCTCTAGGTGACAGGAGTCCACTAATAAATGCTGTCAAGCTTAATTATTCAATAAACTCTGGGTCTGCTTATAGACCCTATACTTCCTTCTCAATGTCTCACCTAACAATTTATTTTCCTGTGTAGAAAATACTAGGGCCTTAGAAACTATATAGTCCAAATATAATATCTGTCCAGGCTTGTGATTAGTAGGATTTGGTAAGAATTCAATCATAGTGACAGGAAACAGGATGAGGACACCTGACTCCATGAATAACCCTAATGTTAAGGAGGCCTAATGGAAGTTTGTCCTAGGGCACACCTTAAATTTTCAAGGGACTACTCATTGAAGAGAAGAAATAAATCTTGAAATTATCTTGGGGATCCATACCCCAACTCATGGGCACCAACTCACATTCCTTCAGCTTGCATACAGTTAAAGCATTAATTACTTTTTCTATCTAATTCACACCACAAATCATTCCAAACCTGACTTTTACACTTGGTCCACACTCCAGTTTCACTATCCATTACCATTATACTCTTCATTCACTCCCATTCCACTCCTACTCAGTCACATACAGAAGACAGGGATTGTTTCCAATGATACCTATTTGACCAATTAGCATCAGGAGAATATTGTTAAATTCTCTTATAGCCTAGGGAAAAATTAAATACTACAGAAAATTATGTGCCCTCTTCTCACTCACATGGCACTCAACTGTCACTTCTTCAAAGTCTGTCACTGTGTCACTTTCCTCACATTCTTGTGCTTGTATTCTCTTGTTTGTCTTCCTCTGAAAGTCTTGTGTGCTGGGTTGTTTTGTGGCCTGCTTGAGGTCTTGGGTGCAGATTAACAATAATTAATCACACTCATTTGTATAGTGCAATAACCCTATGAGATAGTGAGGAAATGAGGACCCAGAGGGTGTGAGTTTAAGGTTACAAAGCCAAAAAACCTCAGAGTAAGAATTTAATCCAAAGCATAAATGCCTCCAATTTCACAGCTTTACACACTATACCATGTAACTTCTTATATATCACGCACTCACTCTAAGGTGTAGGAAGTGATTACTCTCGTCACAACTGTGTTCTGACAGCACCTTTCAGTAATTTTACTTTGATGTTCAGCTACGCAGCCAGCAACGTAGTGCGTATATTTCTATATGAGTACCTACATGGGATACTATAAAAGGCCTGGGACCCAAAGATCAATAAGACTTATTATTAAACAATACCTCCCAACAGCATGGTTTGTCAGTCAAGAAAGTTAATCTCTTAAGTGAGTAAGCATAGCATATAGGTTTAGGAAGGTGACAGTCTCACTGTCATCTGCCCTGGCCATGTCTATATTCTTGTGTTTACTTCTGAACCTATTTTAGAAAGGTAATTGATAAACGGGAGAGAATATAGAGGGAAGCAACAAGGATGGTTAAAGACTTAAAGATCAGGCTTTTTGAGGGTCCATTGAAGGTTAGGGATAGTTAACCTGGAGAAGAGATGACGTGGTCTTGGGAGTGGGATGTTAGCTGTTTTCAAATATTTGGAAGGCCATTATAAGAAAAAGGGTTTATATATATGTATACATATTTTTTTTTTGCTTGGACCAGAGTCTAGGTCAGGGGTGGGGGAACCTGCAGCCTTGAGGCCACATGTGGCCCTCTAGCTCCTCAAGTGTGGCCCTTTAACTGAATCCAAACTTCACAGAACAAATCCCCTTCATAAAAGGATTTGTTCCACAATTCTTGGACTCAATCAAAAGGCTGCACCCAATGACCTAGAAGGCCACATGTGGCTTTAAGGCTGCAGGTTTCCCACACCTAGTCTAGGTACAATGGGGGAAACTTATAAATTTAGGTTTTATCTAAGGAAATTAACCCTTGGAAAGTGGTAAATTCCTCATTACTAGAGGTCATTGAGCAAAGGCAGAATGACCACATGTTGGGTGGTCAAGTTATACAGGATATTCCTATTGATAGCTTCTTTGGACTTGAAGAGATCTGAGGAACCTCCTAACTCTGGGATTCTCTGAATCCTTCTCTATCCTTTTGTCCATATTTGTGTCAAGGGTCATAAAACACTGACAGTCAGAAGCCATGTGATAGACTCAAGTGACTTGGGAAGGTTCGATCAAGGATGTCTATTATTTTTCACTAGGGTCCAAAGCAGATCACCTCGGGGTTTTCCAGGCCACAACTGATTCCTCTGATCCCTCTAAATCAGACCCTACTTTGTTGATATGCAGCTGAATTTTGGATCATGTTGTGCTTAATTGTATTTCCCCAGCAATCCCCTTTACGACACATTTTCTTTTATTTCATGTCTTTTGCTCTTAAAACAGAGGTTCCTGAGATATGAAAGATTTTTTGAAAATACCTTTAACTAATATTATTTCTTAGCAAAGGTGAGTGGAAGCCTTTCTGGAGAAGTTACTGAGTGCCTTGCCATCAGACAAGTATGCCTAGACCTTTTGAACTATAGAAACCATTGGAAAAATTACCTATTTTCTGAAAAATCTCCAGAAAAAGACACTCTAAAACCTGACCTTAGAGGACAGAACCAGGAATTTGTAGAGACATATTTAGGTTGGATATCAAGGAGAGAAAGCAAATAAAAAGCCTCTCTAAAAATGAGAGCTGCCCCAAGAAAGAATGAGCTGCCTAGAGAGCAGGTGAATTCCTTCTCTTTGGAAGTCTTCAGGCAGAGTCTGCATGGCTGCTTGTTGTATGTGTAATTGCGGGGATTACTTTTGCCCATAGGTTGAACTAGATGGCTGATAAGGTGCCTTCCAACTCTCTGATTCTGTGAATTTGCCATGACATCATTGCCAGAGTCCCACTCCTAGTAACCAGGAAGTCTTTCCAAACATTTAACAAATCTGTAAAATGGAAATTTGTTTCCATTTTCATTGCCCCAGTATTATTGAAGATATTCCTTACAACCATTTTGAAACATGACTTAGCAGCCAAGAATACTTGTTTTCTAAGTTCTCCCTCAACCTTCCTTTCAGTATATGTGAACATTGTGAGAAAATCAACAGGTTGACTCTTCAGCAAATATCCCAAGCATAGACAGCTAGGCCTGGGTCATGTGCTTTGCCCGCAACAATTCTGTTTTACCATTGGCTTGGCTTCTTAAGTAACACATCAGATTTACCCAGAACTAATCCAGTAGACCACAATAAGACCAACTTAGGGCAATAAAGACACATCTCCTTTTCACGTTTATTTCATTTTGTTTTAAGATCACAGAAGAGCAGAGCATTCATACGTGTAAAGTAACAGAAGAGAGAAACAGAATTTAAATACATTGAAAAAGAAAAAGAAAAAAGCTTGTTTTAATTTTAATTTTTTTACACACATTGCGCTTTTGTTTTTCTCCATAGAGCTAATATATGGGAGAAAAAATGCCCACCAAATTAATTTTTTTTTAAAAAAGAAGAAATTTCAAACAATAAGAGTCCCAAAGCAAAAAATGATCATGTGTTTGTATTGTCAAGGGAAGTTCAGTTCATGGCTACAGGGTTGAAAAAAAGGAATATATATATATATGTATATATATATTTATATGTATATAACACTGTTAATAAGAATTCTAACCAATAGCAGGATTTGTAAACCCTTCCATAGAGCAATGGGAAGGGGGAGGGGGAGCAAAGGAGGCTTTATTTGAGCACTCCATTCTCCACATCATCTCCTCCCTGTTGAAACCCCCCAGTAAACACTTAGGGAATGAAACTTGGCAACAATTCACCAGACTCAGCCTTATACATTCTCTGGTGAAGGGTAAAGACTCATTGGTGGTGGAATCAGGAATGGCCCCAGCAAACTTGTATTGGGTGGTCTGAACTATGAAGCTAGTAGTTAGAAGTACTTCCTTCATTTTCTAGATGTAGATTAGAACCTTTCTGCTTGTGTCCATCTGTAGATGGATAAAGGTTGAGGATAGAGAAATGACCAGAATGGGAAGAACATCTGAAATAATCACAGAGAAGGAAAGTATTTCTAGTTTGACTGGTAGTTCTCTCATTTACAAAATGACTTTATAAATGTTCTAAGGACTTGGCTTATCTATATCTATATAAAGTGATATTGACATATAGAAAGATATAGATACAGACCACTATTCAGCATATAGGTAACTAAGATTCCATTGGCTATTTCTGGCAATGCATAGGAAGACAAGCTAGGGAAAGGCTAAGCTTGGTCTCTTGAGATGCTGTGGGACATTAACTCTTGGGTCAATATAGTAACAATATGCTCAGCTCCCTAAAGGACACAGGCAGGGAATTGGATGCAATATCTGATTTTACCAAGATACTAAGAAACCTTTCTCTCTACACCTAGAAACCTATCTTCCCTTTGCACTTTCCATAACATCCTATTTAAAACCAAAGAACTTGACTTTTTACATCTGATTTTGGCCATTCTTAGATTCCCCCAAAGATATCATATCACAATCTCATTGTCACTACCATCATCTCTAGAGTCTACTCAATGATTTTTCTTGACATCCTAATCCTTTGCCTGAAGCCTTGAAATAATATCTGCGCAGTCTTGCTAGACACTTTTTGAAATCGTTTACAAGTGTGGGCCAAAAGGATATTTCTTTTTTTTTCCTCCTTTCACTTGACTGTTTTTTAGGGCTTGGAGTCCCTAATATCTTGGAATAGGTTGTAGGAAGCTTGAGCCATACAGGGCAAAGTGTTGGACAAGAATATTCTAGTAAATGTTCTCTCTCTCTCTCTCTCTCTCTCTCTCTCTCTCTCTCTCTCTCTCTCTCTCTTTTTTAATAGTATAGATCAACTGTACCTGTTTGGGACTGCTATTTTAAACATCATTTCTTACAAGATATCTAATCAATTTTTAGGATGAGATCTAGGATCAGATTTTCTAGATCTTTAATGGGGAACTTGAACTTCCTCAACTTAGAAAGAAACACTTGTTTACTTTTTAAATTTGAGGACTTGTTTACTTAAAATACATGGAATACTGAAGCCATATGGCTATCATTCAAGGGATGGTATAAGATGGGGGAAACAGATTAGGTTCTTTTCCTTTTATGCTAGGTTAATAAAATAGTGTAATAGCTAGATTTGAAACATTTAAAAATATACAACAGCCAAAACATATCAGTGCCCTTAGTTAAATATCCCAGATAAATCACATTCCCAGCATGCTAACAAATGATATGGCCAGATATGACCAGATGATCAAATCATAACATAAGAAAATTCCTGTTAGAAGTTTTAGCCCTCAATACTACTATTTTGGGGGGAGTGTGTCAATAAAGGATATGGGAAGACCAGATGAAAAAGGAAAAAATGTTATCTAAAGTAGTCAAACACAGTGAGCACCCAGTTTATAATCATGTAATCACAAATATTATAACCTTCGAGATTATTTAATCTAACTACCTCATTTTGCAGATAGGGAAACTGAAACCCACAGAAGTGAAATAATTTGGCCAAGATCACAGTGACAATGGAACTAGGACAACTCTGGGGTATCATACGAATTTGACAGTTCTTTTTACACAGTAGCCTTAATAATAAGTCTAGACTATTTTTTAGGTTTTGCCTTTGATGTTTTTTTGCGTGGGCCAATTATCTAGTTTGTCAATATTTTTATCTGCTTCATCAAACTAATTAGGCACTTTGTGCAAGCCCAGGATGTCAAAATCAATATGAAAGGGAGTATCTAGGTTCTAGGGCAAGGATTCAGAAATGGAATTTGAGAACACAATGGTGAGAACAGTCTACTAAGTCAACTGAAAATTGCTAGTTCTCCAGATTAAAGAATAAGATCTTTTCCAAGGATTCTATTTTATTTCTTGCAACCAGAAGATAGACTTTTTTTTGTGGAGGATCAGCCTTTCTCTTTATTATTTCTTTGAAACTTAAAAGAATTGCAGTCTCTCCTTTTCCCCTATTAGAACAATTCCTAGGATTTGTTGAGTAAATGGATGGAAACAGAAGCAACTTTCTACTCATCAAGTTGTAAGATCTTTCCAAGAGTCCATTTAACCAAAATGTTTAGGACACTGAAGCAAGAAGTCAATAAGAATGGGAAATTTGGAAATAGACACAGCAGAAACCCAGAAGGGACAACTCTAAGGCTCTTCCTCGATCTTTCTTCTTTCCAAGGGAAGCCAGAAAGGCAATGATATTATCTGCTACGATGAGAATAGCTGAAAGTGTTTGCGATTCCTCGCCAGAACGTATAGACTGAGAGAATGTTAGAGCTAGAAGAGTACTTAGAAATCACCTAGTTCAACCTACTCATTTTGCAGATGAGTACAGACAGGGAAGATGACATGGCTGAGGTCATAATAATAGTGGCAAAGCCTGGGCCAATGCTCTTTCTATGACACTATTCTTCCTCCTAAGGGTGGCCCCTACACTTGGAAGTTAAGTATTATGATGCTTGTGCTGTATCTAGGAGGTCTCTTTGAAAAAAAAAAAAACAGTGGGATTAAGTACTGTGTGAATAAAGCAAAGCTTTCTCCTACTGAGGGAATTTAATCCATTGAGAGATTTAGTCTTTCCTATGTTTTTTCTCTGACCACTTCAAATGGTTTGGTCCTGTTTAGCACTGACGTTCCTTGTAGACTTAAAGGTTTACCTGGACCTGTGTGTGGTGGGGGAAAAAAATGAAGTTTACATAGTTTACTTTATGTACATAAACTAGTGATTTACTTTGATTTACACATGATTGGGGACTAATTTATTAATCAGCATACCGTATGTAAATGTGGAAGAAGGAAATCAAGAGTTTAAAGCATTTTTCCTACTACATACATAAACATTTCTGTTAATGTAAATGTTAACATTGGTTGACTTTCCAAGAAAGAATTTATGTATATTACTGGGTAAAACAAATGTACCCTTAATCTTCAATGTCTAGCATTTGCAAGCCTAATCTTTATACAAACTGGAGTTTAGTTGGCAGCTATACCAGTAACCTAGAAAGAACTATAAACCTCATTTTGTACACACTGACATTATAATACCATGATATAGAATTTGCAACTGAGGAAATTATATCCTTATGTCCTTGATCTTTTGAAAATAGTTTGAAATCTCTAAGACAATAAGAGGCCATATTAAACTGAATTTGGGTTGCTATGGAAATATGTATAAGGAAATTGATTTACATCATCCAAGCATAAGACTCTATAATCTTATAATGTCACAAGTGGGTATTTTAACACCTGATTATATCTACACACTTCTGAAATTGGTGGCCCACTGGGAATCAACATCAAATCCAAGCTCGAAAAGCCATGGGAGCTGAAGAGAGGAATTAGGTCATGGTTATCCTCAGTGAAAGTGATCCAAATGCAAGAATTTTTAGTAGACTGGCCACTAGAAAGACTCCCGGAACTGGAATCCCTACCTCCAGAGTAATTAATTAACAAGCAAATGAGAGTAGCTCTAGTATCAGAAGCAATTCCATGTAATAAATCCAGTTTATTTGTGCAAAGACTGCCTGGCTTGGTAGATGATAGTGAGACCATGAACTCATGACAATAAGCTGATTTTGGTTGTAATTTAGGAAATCTCACCTTGCTTTCTTGGAATTTTTAAAATTCTTTCTGGACAGACACATGCCTTAGTTACAAGAAGGAAAAATCACAATGATCTATGAGAAAAAGAGCAAGACAAGCAACTAGGAAGGAGGAAATGATACTATTATCTGAAGTTACAAGACCTCAGATTACTCTCATTCCTCAGAAAGCACCCCAGGCCAAGATCATTACTGCTCTTGTTAACTAAAAGTTAAAGGAAGTATCTTTGGGAAGTGAAGACTCAGTTTTATGGATGGTTGAGTTTCATTTTGTATACAAAGGGCACTTCTCTTGACATGAAGTATATTAGCCAGTCAGATTAATTGATGAATTTCACTCCCTTCAGCATATTATTTCCATCCAGTTGGTTCTTTCCCACATACTGTTTCACACTTCAGTTGCTAATGGACTTGATTCCTTGACAAACAGCCAAGTGATGAGCCAAATAGTAAGTGGGTCCTTGCTAAGATTCCTTTTTCCTAGATGCCTATTTCCTGGCTCCTCTACTTTGCTGACAAATCCTCAAATTCTCTTCTCCAGGCTTAACACTTCTATTGAATCTCTAATCTGCTTCTTTCTATGTGCAAGCAACAAAAGAGCCGGAAAAGATCTTGTTGAAGAAGGGGGAAGGAGAAGGAGAAAGTGTGAAACTCTTTTACTTTATACTTCATATGTGGACAAGAAAAATCACAATCAGGAAGAAAATCTATGAGAGCAGATCCTTCCAGAAAACAGAAATTTATTGTTAGAATCTGTATCAGGCACTGAAAATATGTGTCTGTCATTCTATTTGGAGGCATGCTACCATAAGCATGACAATTCCAACTTACATCTAAATGGATTATTGACTAGGACTATTCTCTTGGGCAGGGATAGGGTGAGGGGTATTTTTTTTTTGAGTGAATGGATAACTTTTCAGTTTATTCTTTCTATTGGGGCGTCAAATGTGGAGTGATTTCTGATTTTCTGATAAATGTGTTAAGATTTCTGTCTTCAAAGATTTTAAACATATAGGCAAGAGATTTCTAACCTAATCTGACTCACTTTGTAGAAAGGACAAAACAAAAGTCCTGATTTATCATCAGATTGATGCTGATCAGGAACTGAGATTTTGGTTAAACTAGGTTTCTTCTCAGATTAGGTCAATCATTTGATCATATCAGCAAGTACCTACCAACTCTTGCCAATGGCCATATTCTATTTCTGCCTCATGCCCACTCCTTTTTTTGTGATTAAAGTGTAAGGATTTTTTTTAAGTATACTGACACAAGGTAAAAGGCAATGGGGTAGAGCATTTGTAATGATGGCTATTTGGTACCCCATTTTCCATTCTGTGTTTTAGAGCTGAGGGAACAAAGTCTGCAGGCCCCAGAAAAAGGCTAGTGAAAGAGCACCTAAAATTTTAAAGGGTGTTAAGCTAGCAATTCACCCAAATAAAAAAAAAAAGATTTGTTGTCTTATACTGTAATGTATTACATTATATTGTCTTATGCTGTAATGTATTACATTATATTGCAATGCATTATATTGTATTGTATTGTGAACTATATAGCATCATGTCATCTCATCTCAGTTATTATTGACCAAAACTTCTCCAGGACTATGAGGACCTAGAGCAAAGCCAATTCACTGTTTGCCAGTCTAAATTTCCAAACATTCCTAACCACGAATGGCTAAAGTTCAGCACGGTGAATAACAATTCCCTGAAGGAAGTTAGCAGCCAAGATTTTTCTTTTCTTCTGTAAAAAGAAACAAGTTGCATGAATCTTCCTCAACATCATGACCTTACACTAGGTAAACTATGGGTGACAACTCTTGTTAAGTAATTCAGTCCAATTGCCCATAACTCAGGACTCATTGATTTCTACTCCATTCTCAAAGAATTAATCTGTTACTTTCTCACTCTCTTGATTTTAAAGTACTCAGAAGTTTTGACTCTTAAACAAACACTAATGCTTGGGATGTAAGAGATGAGCCACCTAGTTAGTTGTCTCTGTTTCTCTGACCAAATTCCTAGATCCAAAAGAAATATTTAGGAGGGACAGCTAATGAAAGGCTCATCACGGTGAGGATTGCTTGCCTGAGCAGACACTGTAAAACAACATGCTATAATTCAAAGAGATTTCTTTGCATCTACACAGAAGAAATGCCCTTTTTTTTTTTAAAGTTTCTATCTATAAAATCTATCAAGAGGAGAAATTCCTAGCATGGCTTTTCTCTCTAGTGTGTAATGGATTACAGTGTGAGACTTCCTTCAATCAAAAAGGATGAAAAGTTCTTTTCTTAAAAACCGTTTTTCCTCTTCTAATTGCTAATGGAGATAATACATTTGGTCCCACTCTCATCCAATCAGAATTTATTTAAAGGATACCAGTCTGTTCTCTTGAACTATTCAGGAACTCAAGCAATTTCAAGCTTTTTTCAATACATTTTTACTGACTTGCTTTCTATAGATATTATTGTCAAGGAACCATTGTTCGTCTTGGTTCTTTCCTAATCATTACAACTTTATTAGTAGTACTACGGCCATTTCTGCCCAGAGGCATAATTCAGATCTCCCAACCTCTTTTTTTTTTTTAAAGAAAATAGTTCAAATTTCTATTTGTCTTCTATGCTAAGGGTACATTCCCAACTTGTCTTCCTTCAGTCTTCTGTGGGAAACATGAGATTAAATCTTTAGACTTTGAGGAAGATCATGTCCCACAGCATCCATCACAGAAAACACAAGCTAGCAGGCAAGATCACTAGTAACTCAATGTCATGGAGCCCACTAAAAAATTAATCATCAGGCTACTAAGAATTGATGGGGCTGCCAAAAGCACCAAAAGAATCAAAGAGAAATTAGGCAATTGAATTCTGTGTATAGTTAAATTCAACCAGTCACCAGATAAAGACTTTGTGGAGGCATGTGGAAGGAAATTTTTTTTGTTTTTCTTTTTATCTTATGCTTCATACAGGGGCTCCAACATATGCATTTGGAATATGGGTCATGGGGTTTCAGTATTTACAAGTTCCTTGATTACTTTGCAGCTGCCAAAGATTCCTGCTCCACTTGATCACTCTTTATTTGATCCAAATTATGAAACAATCATTATCCACATGTTTAATCCAAGGGAATTGGTCAGGAGTGGCTGGGTGGGGAATCTGTAATGTTATTTGACCAATAGGGAGGGGCAAAAGGAGGGAAGTTTAGGTGATCATAGGGCTTATCATTCCTATAATTATGAATTAGCACTTGGTGACTTCCCTGCTTCTCCATATATTCTGTACACACCATACCCACTACAGAGGGAGGACAGGGCACAGCCAGCCCAATGTCACTAAATGTTTGAATTTTCTCAGCCCTATGAAGCAAGAGCTAAGTCAGAATTCTTCCCCTCCTAGGGTAGCTCAGCCTATGTTACTGATTAACTCTTCCCTATCTGTCACCCCATCAGTAGTAGGCACTTTCAGTAACAGTGATATTCTGGGTTCTGATGATGGGTATAAAAGGAAGTTTAGAGCCCTGCCCCGGAGGGAACCCAGCTTCACTTCCTGTTTGAATGCACACTGATGTCATGTGACAGCCACTAATCTAATGCCTTTTGGTTAGATTTGGGATGGGGGTGGAGGAGTGGAGTGGAGAAAGGTGTTGCAAGGTGGGCTCTTCCATGCTATCTTAACAAGTGAAATTCAAGGCAAACTCCAGTTAGGCTGCCACTGGAGCGTCAGACACAAGGATCTACCACCTTCTCCACCATCTTTCTGAGCAACATGTCAAAACCGCATTTCACAATTACAATGCAGGACAATTATCCACAGCACGATGAGTCTATGTACATATGGACCATTCCCTTGGCATGCTTTAGAGAGAGAGACACACGCACACACATATACATCCACATGAGAGAGAGACCTGAGCACGCTCACACACAAAGTGAAGAAAATCAAAATTAAAATGTCATTTCCTAGCATCAGCGGCATGACTTGAGCTCAAGGTGGTGGTAGCAGGGAAGGAAGAGGAAAATAAGGAAGATAAAGGGGATAATACCAAGGATTATAGAAGAGGGGAGAGGGAGAATGGATGATTTAGGAAAAAGGAATAAAGTTAAGAGAGAGAGGGTGGGGCATGCCAATGAGAGGCTATTCACAAGACACCAGGATGGATTATTTTGATAGTCTGAATTGGCTGAGTCAGTTCAAAATGACCAACTGGAAAAAAAAAAAACCTTATATAAACACCAAAAGTAAGACGACTTTCCACAGATGAAAAAGGATGAAGAAAGGAAGAAAAAAGGGAGAAAACAATTATCCAGCATTCCTTTTCTTTTTCTTTCCTTTTCCTTTTCTTTCCTCTCTTTCATATCTAAAGAACATCTGAATGTCCTCAGCATGATGTGGTCTTTACACAGCAACCAACTGTTCATACACACACACACACACACACACACACACACACACACACACACACACACACACACATACATGCACAGTGGCATTTTTCCACCAAGTTGTTTTCAAATTTTTACTTAATGAATTTAACTTTTGAAAATGTTGTAGATACTTTGTTGTCATATTTTTCACCTTCACTTCTGAACACACAAAGTTGTAAAAGAAACAGTCCTCCCCCCTTGCTCTCTCTCTCTTTCTCTCTCTCTCTCTGTCTCCTGTATGACGCATTTTTGTGTGTTGGGTTTTGTTTGTAAATTTTTATTCTATTAACATTTGCTGAGTAGGCAGAACAGGGATGCTGCCAGCAACCACAGTGGTACGGCCAGGCTGATTGATCCATTTATTCCTCTCACTGACCCAGGTCCTGCAGGGCAAGAAAAAGGGGAAAAAAAAGAAAGAAAAAGAAAGAAAATATTAGAATCAGTAGAGATTTCCTTTTATTAAAGCTACCTTTCAAATATATTTTAGCATTAGATTCAGCAGCTATATTAGGCACTGGTGCCTAAAAGCTAGTGTCCTTATGTCATAGGACATCTAACAGAAACCAAGGGGCAAAGAATAGCCGCAATGCCCCTGGATGTCAATGCACTCATGATAATGCCCTAAGTTGGTGGTCTCCTTCAAGTTCCACATGGTACAATATCACCCTGTCTAAACATCCTCCTTTGCTACAGGACTTCAGATGCCAGTCTTCATTATAATTCCATACAATGATGAGTGTCCACCAGCAGCCAGACAAGGGCTCCTCTGGGGCCAATTCATCACAGCATTTCAATCAATAAAACATGGAACCAATCAGTGAATCCCTTGCCTCCCAAGGGAGGAACAGTAATTACTCATTTGTTAATGAGGATAGAGAATTATTTCAAAGGAATATTTATATTCAAATGGTAGCATACCAGAAAAGTAAAAAGGAAGGTAAAGAAACATAGAATGTTAGAGGAGAAAAAAGAATTATATCTCAATCTAGTCTAAATGTCTCATTTTACAGATGAGGAAAATGAGACTCAATGAAGTAAAGCAGCTTGAATATTGTTATATATGAGTTCAGCCAAGAACCTAGATCTCAATTCCCTTTTCAGTATTTTTGCCATTGTACTACACCTGTGTGTATGTCTCTCTTTTTCTTTCTCTTGTCTTTTTTCCTGTATCTTTGTTGATCTCTTCTTTTGCCCCCTCCTCCCAATCCTCTCCCTATCTCCTTGAAGAAGTACAGAGAACTTCATAGTGTCAAAGGACTGAACAATGGACATAATATTGTCCTGATAATCAAAAAAGGTGGAAGAAGGCAGATTATGTAACATACTGTCCTGTACTGTACTCTACTATGTTATGCTATAGTATACTATTCTATACACTAGTTAGGTTGATTTGAATTATTAGGAACATTTTAGAATATACTGTTATATATTATATCTATATATTTTGGAGGAGATGATGACTAGGACATGAAACAGAATGTTGGAAAGGGGAAAGAGGATGACTAGAAGAAAAATACTAAAGTCATATTAGGCGCAAACTTAAATATCTTTCTCTAGTGTTCTTCCATCCACTTTTAGATAGTTTTAATGGCCAGATTAAATCTAGAGATTTTCTTATTGCCCACCATTTAGGCTTGGATTTGCTTTGGAAACTAGGGTATTTGTGTACTTAAGAATGGGTCCTCAAATGAGAAAGTGCTATCATTGGGGATGTGGATCCCTGAATTGATGGGAGACTTGAGAGAGAGTGTATAAGTCAACTGCTGTTTCTAAGGTTCTGAGTGCTTGTATGTATAATGCAAGGACACTCAATATGTGGATGGAAGCAAATGAGTGTGTATACACACTAGAGAGGTCGGCAAATATAAGTGCTCTAAAAATGAAAAGGGATATAAAATAATGTTAAGGGATGCTTCCTTGTCATTATTTAATGTGGTGAATAAGAAAGTGAGAAAACACAGGTGTCCCCCTCTTCAAGCTAGACCTATGATCATCCTTTTAGAAAAGGATTAACAATTGCATTCCATTTCTTTACACAGTAAACTTTTGTGCTAAAGCATTAAACTCTCATGCTAAAATATTGGTTTTTATGTCAACATTTGCTTGCACATAAGTTTTCAGGAAAATATCTACTTCAAAAAGAGAAGTATATCAGTATATTAATACATACAATTATGGAAATTTAAGATGGACTCCTCAAGTACAGAGTCAACACTCTATTATCCCAAATGGGTTATCCCAATTGTAAATTTCTCATGGTAAGACTTCCTTTTAAATCTTTATAGATCTTTTTAAACCTACTTTGCTTAAATACTGCAATACGAAATTTTATAAATAGAGTGAATAGAAGAAAGGAGACTGGGGTTTTAATGTGCTATCCATATATAACTCAATTGGTGACCTTTGGTAGATCACTAAAATCCTCTGGGTCTAATTTTTTTTGTCATCTGTTAAATGAACGAGTTGGACAAGATATTTTGAAGATACCTTCAATTTCTATCATTCAATTGAATAACAGATCTTTAAGATCATTTGTTCCATCTCCTTCTTTTTGCAGATTAGGGAAATTAGTCTGAAAGAAGTTATTTGCCTAGTCATAATGCTCATTAGTGAAAAGGATGGAGACAAGACCAGATTTCTTGTCTCTCTTCAGGGCTCTCTTCATTACGATGTGCTATATTTTATTGATGTGGGATCATTAGATTTAGAAGTAAAGGAGGTATTATAGACCATCTTGTTTGGCTCCATCATTTAACAGAGGAAGAAACTGAGACACAGAGATGTTAAATGGTTCATGCAAAGTCACATAGGTAGTAAGTGGACAAGATAATATTTGAACCCAGGCCTTCTGACTCCAAATCTGGTTCCTTTTCTATTGTACCATATTACCTCCAAAGGAATCATTAAAATCATGGATAAAAGCTGGAAAAGGCCCTTACAGATCACACAGGAAGTTCTGATTTGGCTTTACTATTTGCCTTGGATATAAAACAATGGAGCTGGAAATTAGAGGGGACATGCCAGTGTGGGCCACATAGACAAAACAGTGAAAGGGAAAAGTTGTCAATAAAAACTGTTCTCCAGACTTCCAGCTCCTTCAGGAACTCTGGATCTTTCCCTATGGCAAATATGAAATCCACGGAGAACTCTATATTCCTATACAGAAGATAGTCATTGTAAATATTTTAAAAAGGAAATACACTCACACATTGCTGATAGACTTACACATTGTCAGATTCTTTGTGAAGGCAAATTGGCCTTTACAAAAATAATTAAGTCCTTTAACCAAACAATCCCATTATTGAGAAAATGCCCTCAGGGCTCTTATAAAGAAAAAAAGATACATGCTTAAAAATACAAATAACAGTATTATTTATAATTTCAAATTTCAATAGAATATAATTCTTTTAGAGTATGCATTAAGTATCATTTTGTCTTTCTATCCTCAGAACTTAGTACAGTACCTTGCTCATGATATTCATTTTAAAATACTCTGTTGGAAGAAGGAAGGAAAGAAGGAAAAGAACTAGAAACAACACAAATGTTCAATAGTAGCTAAATAAATTAGGATATATCAATATAATTGAATGCTATATCATTACAAATAATAAGTATGAAAAATCTAGACATAGAAAGAATTATATGAAATAGTGTGAAGTAAAGAAACTAGAATCAGAAGAACAGTATTTTATACATTTACTATGGCTGTGTAAAAGTCAAAATATACACAAATATAAAGTTGAATGCCTAGAGAATAGGAGGGAATCTGTAAGGAGTTGTGAATGTTTAATTGGTTTGTTGTTTAACATTAAGTATCTAAGTTACTAATAGTTTTAAAAAATTAAATAATTTTTTTAAAAAAAGGAGTGATTATCCTATACCCAGGAGAAAGTAGCTAGTGTCTTAGAATCTCTTTTTGGGAGACAGTGGGGAACGTGGTTTCTTGTGCTGCAGAAAAGTCACATGCAGAATGCAGGGGCTATGGAGGTCTAGAATCAAGTGTTATTTTCGCTATGCCCCAATGCCTTTAATTTAGATTTTAATTTTAATTCTAGGTCATTAGGAAGCAGTAGAAGGGACCTTTAAGTTAAATTCTTCATTACCTTGTCCCTGTAAACATTTGCCAGATTGTTTGCAGAAAATATGTAGGGAAAATCCATCTCTGTATTAGTCTGATCCTTTTCTTATGGGTCAGAGAGTTGATGCATTTCAGTCCTAGAATGGAGGACAAGGAGCTCCAGGAAAAAATTAAGCAGAATGGGGAAGATGAAAAGTTTGAACTACTTATGCAATTCTTAGGATATTAGAGAAGCAATGTACTAGAGTTGAAAGCTAGGACACTTGAATTATTTTTTTTTCAGCCAAACACAAGATACCTGAAATCTAATCCCAATTCAGACGCTTAATTTCTATCTGTGATTTTAAAGAAGTCATTTAGACTCTCAGAGCCTCCTTTCTCATGTGCATAACATGGATACTGCCTAGCAAACAGGACTATTATAGATAAGCACTTAACAAACCCCAAGGTGCAATATAAATTTTAAAATTATATATAAAATTGAGCATGTATTTAGGATGCACATGTTCATAACTGATGTTTAAATAACAATTATTATTTACTAATACAAACTTGTGACTGTGTAGTGTATTTGTATAGTTCTCATTTCTTCTCAAAATATTATTGGGAGTGGATTGAGTTCATAGCATATAACGCTGGTATCATATGGAGAAATATCACAGAGTTATATGCTTAGATCTACATGTGCTACATATGTATGAGTACATATATACACACATGTGTATTATATGTACATATTATATGTAATATGTACATATATATGTATATACCTCAATAGGGAAGAATGAGTAGCCCATTCATTGTTTGTATTTTGGTTTATCCTCTATTCCAAAGGCAAATGGTGTAAGGAAGGACTGCTTTTCTTCTTAATGAATATAAGTTGGTCTATTCACAAATAGGGGTGAACTTTGTGATTCTTCATTGTAGTTCAAGACAAACAACCATCCTTTGCAAATATTTTGATGGATTACAGATCTAATCAGGGCGGAAAGTCTTAGACTAATATATCCTTAAGAATGGAAAAGTAAACAAAGATAATTTACCAACTTGCAAAATCTTTTCAAACTGGAGTTTGAGCCTTTAACTATAAAAATAATGCACTAAAACACTGTGTTGAGAGATATCTAATGTAGATGAATTTGGGAGTAATCTTAGGGACAAAGAGCAGCATCTAGAGGAAGGAAATTAGGATGGTGAAGAAATAGCTTCATGTCATAGCAGTAATAGTTGAAGGAACTGGCCATGTTAAGCCTGGAGAAGAAAAGACAGAGAAGACATGATAGCTTGTCTTCAAGCATTTGCTGG